TTTTTGTTTATAAGATATTTCAATTGCTAGATTAACCTAGAAGTCCACTTTGTATCCTCGAACATGAGGTGCAGGGCTACCGCCAGAACAGAGCCAAATAACACGTAATTTCACGACCAAAGTTTCACGACCATCGCGGGTTTTTTCACGACCAATCCAGCCTTATGGATTATAGTGTGTTTGGTCGTGACAATAACTTTAATATAATTGTAATTTGAACAGTTTAGTTCAATTGAAACACTTATTTTTATTATACCTAACAGTATAATTAAAGGATTGTTTAGAAAGATTTAGATTATTTCAGAAAATTCACGACCGTACCGCTTGTCCCTGACCATCACGTTTATGATTTCTATCATAAAAATTTCAAAAAATAAAATATCGTCATATTTCAATGTTTTATACACAAAAGAAGCACACCTCTATACAAACATAACGATTTTCGGGTCTCAGGTAAGTTTTTTCGGAGTTATACAAACTTAAAAAGATTTTATTGGCTTTTTTTCATTTTTTTGAGTTTTTTATTTTTTTCTAGAAAGACCAAATATACCAAAAGCTTAGTGACCTTTTTATTGTATAATGGTCATAAAAGTAAATTAGTTTATAGCAAAACATAGTTATAAAAATAATATTAACTATTTTTAATATTCATTTAAACGTCTGTTATGGTCGTGACAGGATTTTGTGTTTTTCCACTAAAGATGCTCTTTTAAAAAAAAATACCAAAGATATTGCGTTACCATGGGCATTTTATGAAACTTCAAATGTTAATGAAATAAAAATAATAATAAAAGTTTTGAAAAAAGGGGGAAAAAATTTGCAAAGTGCTTTTCCTGAAAACGTACGTTTTTAAATTTTCACTCTCAAACGCCTTACTCATGTCAACAAAAATGCCGACAACGTTGTTACCACTGTCTATATCATCAATGACGGACTCTACGAAGTCAATAAGTGCCGTGGTTGTGGATTTTCCCTTGACGAAACCATGTTGTCTCTCTGTCAAGAGTTGATTAGAGAAAAGATGTTCTAATAGCCTCTGCAAGACAATCTTCTCCAGGATCTTCGAAAAGGTTGGAATCAAAGATATTGGTCGATAGTTCCCAATGTCAAGTCGAGTTCCTTTTTTGTGTAGGGGAGAGATCTTCGTTGTCTTCATGTTCGATGGGAAATTACCTTGTGTGAGTGATAATTGAATTACGTGAAGCAAGGGCAGCAGAAGCTCCTGTCTGCAGGATTTCACTATCCTAGCTGATACTCCATCTATCCCTGTTGATGATTTAGGTTTGAGGGAGTTAATCACTTCTAAGAGCTCCGTTTGGGATACCGGCTTGAGGTTGTGCATTGGAAAGACTACATTGTGTTTGTCAATGCTAGAAACTCTGGACGATCGATCTTGCTTTTTGGTTTCCTGGTTTTGGTTGTTCCTTATTGTTTCTTCAGCCACAGTTGCAAAGTAGTGATTAAACAAATTGGCAACTTCGACAGGGTCCTCCACTTCCCTTCCTTCGATTTGCAGTTTGACTGAGTTCGAGGAAACATCACATCTGTTATTACGCTCGCAGTTGATGGTCTGCCATATGGCTTTGCTTTTGTTGACGGCTTGATTTATCTTAGATGCACTTATTTCTCTTCTAAGAGATCTAAGTTTAAGATCATAAGCCTTCTTCCGTTTAGAAGCTTCTTGTTTGTCCTGGATACAGTTGGTGAGTAAGAACTTACTCTGAGCATCTAGAAACTCTTGTTTTAGGAGTCTAGCTTCGTGGTCATATTTTGCAGACATCTCGGGTTTGTGATTACGTCTAGACTTTTTCAGAGGACAAGTTACGTCAATGTTTTCAAGAAGTAACTGCATAAAGGAGTTGTATGCATCATCCACGGTAACAGAACTAAAGACAGCGTTCCAATTCTCCTCTGCAAGATTTAGCTTAAGATTGTGAAGATTCTTGGCGTTAATGTGTCTGCGGGTTGATGTATTAGTTAGTGTGTGCTCAGCAGGAAAAGAAAGATAGCACAGTTGTCCAGTATGATCCGAGATTGAAGCATTTAATATCTCCCAGATTATGTCTTTGCTGAAATTAGTACACACAGCATCAATAGATGTTTTGGTAGTAGGGGTAATCCTGGTTGCTGGTAGCTGCTCTCTTGTTAAGTTGTGGGATAATAAAAGGTCATTAAAAAGAGAGCAATCCAACGAAGGCTTCAGTCGGTCTATATTTACATCACCTATAAGTATAACTTTGGACCTGAATGTTGAAGGCAAAGAGTTCAAGGTGTCAGACAGGAGCCGAAAGGCTTCGTCAACAAGGTTACGATCCCTGTTAGGGGGGCGATATACACCAATAACAAAAAGCGATTTCCTGTCTTTGAGCTTGATTGACACACCCGAAATCTCACATACCAGAGGGATACTGCGGAGTTCCAAATGCAAGCTTGAGACATTCTCCATTGTGTTTTTTCTGTAAATAGCTACCCCTCCTTTTGGAATATCTTGACGTGCAAAAGCTGATACTAAGCAGTAGCCCATAAGCCTAGTGTTGAGGATCTCATCTCGGTTCTTCCCGTGTTCAGTCAAGACAACCAAATCAGGCGAGTAAGTATGGAGCAGATGATTAAGCCTTTCAATTTTGTTGGAGATTCTATCTACGTTTTGATGAAAAACCGTAAGTTTTCTATCCTTGGCTATCGGGTTTTGATGTGGAGTTACCGTTGTGTCGGCTTCCATCGACTTTTCCCGCTCTGACCTCCGTCTAAAAAAGATCCACCAGCTGAAGTCAAACACGAAGCCCCCAAACGAGCACTTGCATCCAAGTACCCGAGAGGCTGATTAGAATCTTGGCTCTTTGCCGTGAGTGTGTCTCTGTTGTCTGAGTTGGCACATTCTGGGCGAAGAGTAAGCTTAGTACCTATGGCCTGTCTTACTAGAAAATCCTTTAAGTGGTTGTTAAAAAATTCTTCCAAGCTTTCTTCCTTCCCTCTCACAACCGCAAATATTGGAGGGGATTTGCTAAAATTTGCTGTTGTAGACGTGTGTTGAGGTTTGGGGTTCAACTCAACTGCATTTAGACCACTAGCAAGTGGAGTTGGCTTTCTTTGAGTCTTATAGTCTTCATATTGATGATTCATGAATGACATGTTTTACCATAATTCTTCAATAGTCAAGCCTATTCACATGTAGCTTACTATATAAATTAACAAATGAAACTTTGATAAATACTTTACAAAACGTATACAACCTCACATTAAAACCAAACATAACCCTCCTCAATCTACATCAAGCATCACAAACATCTTTTTCGAGTAAATAAACAAACACCAGTTCATTGAACTGACCAGCTGTTTCATTAACTAAATTAAATTAAATCATTTACCTAACCCGCCATGTTAAACTTCCCTATCCCAAGCGTGATGTATACAACTTCCTTACTTCTCGAGTGATGTAAAGTATGAAACTCACTCGGTGATGTAAAGAAACCCATTTAAATAACATTGAGTGCATAACTTAAAAAATATACCTCTATGGAGCCAATGACATTCAACGCTAGAAATCAGCTGTGCGCTTGAATGTTATTGTTATGCTTTAAAGTATTTTCCTAACCTAGCTTTTGTTTGTAAAAGAACGTTACTGTTAGAAGATGAGTGAAATGGATAATGATGAAAAATATTGTACGTAAACCCATGTATTGTCGGGTCAGGTAAAATCTTGTACGTTACACGTTACGCAAGAGCGTGTAAAACATCACTTAGGTGAATTATGCAACTCGCTTCCGCTCGTTGCACAACATTCACCTGCGTGATGTAAAAACGCTCTTACTACACTTGTAATGTAAATAGCTATTAAACATTGGAAGCATGCCAGGCGTAGCTCTTTGGAAATCAGCCTGTGGGACAGAGCAATTCTGCATGTTTTATTTTCAATATTTTAATAAATTTATGTTCATACATTTAAATTTAAATAAATAAAGTGCGAAACAATTAGCTGATGTCACCTGTCTGCCATGTTATTTTATGGGACGTTTGTCACTGAACAACACCACTTGCAACGATGCCAATTCTACCAGGCCGCGGCCTGTAGTTAAAGGCGGCCGTGGTTGCGCTGCCCGTGCTGCAGCATGGCCTGTTTTTTTCTATTGGGGCCTTGATCCACCGTGCTCCATCTCGCTGTAGCCCGTTGTCGGTGTCAGCGTGGACCGGCACATAAAGTCGGCCGTGGGACCGGTGACGCGAGTGGTTAGTGACGTCAATAGGTAACTGTAAAATCTCCCGTGTGCCCCACCACACATTCTCATTCCCTGAAAAAAAGAGTATCAGCAGCTCATAAGCATCTAGACTGCCAGTGCAACTCCTAGGAACGGCCGATCGGTAGGATCGTGAATCAGATCGAAAAACCCCCCACCACCGTTCAGTGCCGATGGCGTGACGTCAACCATTACTGCAACGATACTGAACCGAACTGAGTCATGAGCCTTTGTGGTGTAGTGGATAGCGTGTCGGGCTGATAATCTGATGGTGCCGGGGTCGAATCCCACTGGGAGCACTAACTTTTTGTCAACAATTTTTTTCATATCAGCAAGTTTGGTTGGTTTGGTTAGGTTATGACAGTTTAATTTTATAATTAAAAGATTGTAAAATTGAATTTGAGACATTTTTAATTTTATTTTTAGAACAGAGCTATTTTTCGATTAGTAAACCTTCATTCGAGTTTATCATTATCAGCAAGTTTCGTTAGTTTGGTTAGGTTATGATAGTTTAATTATATTTAATTCAAATTTAATCTACAAATTATACGTTTTGACAGCAACAGTGATACAGATAACAATTTTCCGCGAACAGTTAGATAAGCTATGCTGATGCGCCGGTATGATCTGATCCACGATCCTCCGTTCCTCGGACTTGCACTGGCAGTCTAGACGCTAGTCAGCAGCTCGAGCTCACTCTCAGTGCTCGCTCACTCACTGCTCAGCTGCTCGTTTTCAGTTTCAACTGTTTCAAGTTTCAAGTCCCAGTTTCAAGTTCAAGTCAAGCAGCTTCAGCCTAACCTGTAGACATAGATGGTTGCATGGTTGCAATTGAGTATTGAGTTTTGAGTTGTAGTTGTGTGCAATTTACTTGTAAGTATTGCTTTTAATTTGTTTTTTTTTTTTTTATTAAGAGTGTTGGTTTACTTGTAAGATGAGTGGTACCTCATATTTTAAAAATGTTAATTTATATTTTTAGGTTAAATTCTGCATAGGTCAAATTAAAAGTACCTAACACCTTAATGTAAGGCTGCACTTTACTTTAGGTCCTACACTCATTCGAATGAAAATATCGATCAATATATCGATTAATCGATTGTTTCATTCGATATATCGTTTGGTTAGTTAGGTTAGGGTAACCTTACCTAACCATCCAAACGATATATCAAATGAAACAATCGATTAATCGATATATTGATCGATATTTTCATTCTAATGAGTGTAGGACTTAAAGTAAAGTGCAAGTGTAAGTAATTAACTTACTAGGCCTACCTAGTAGGGTAGAAACCCACTTTATCCCCTTGCACACTTTGTAGGTTTTGTGTGAAGGATTGTAAGTAGAGTTTTGACATTGGTAATTATATCGACCTCCAGACCTCACCTGAAATTCAAAATTTGACATTTTGAGGTGCGTTAAAATTATGTTAACTTATTGCTTCCCAAAGTATGACAGCGATAAAAAATTTGGCAATGCTTTAAGTAATTTGCTGGCCTACTCGCCATCTATCTATATATATAACACGCTAAGCCGATTTTTGTGAACAGAACTCCTCCCTGATTTTGGTCCGATTTTGATGATTAAAGTATTTACAAAATGGCCCTGATCTGTAGTTTTGCAAAGTGTTTTTCAATTTTTGAAATCTATTAGGCCTAGTTTGGGCAGGATCTTCCATCAAAGTTGGGTTTTCTCCCATAAGATTAATGTAAAATCTTGGGCGTAGAAACTTGGTAGAGGTGTCCAAAGAAAGGTTTCGGTTTGGAGATGAGCCATCAAAAGAAAGACAAAGTAAATTCCCATAGGGCTCTGCCCCAGAAGCCTTTAAAGTTCCCTTCCCAGATATGTTTAAGTACATTATCGTCATATGGATAATTTTCCACTACTTTTTAATGGAACAGCTGTTAATATTCAAATTGTATTTTAAACAACACGTTGTAGGAAGTTACGGAGTCTGTAAAAAAGTAGTATTTGTAATGTAATTTTTTGATTTTAAAATTCATTTTGTTCTGCACCATAACATGTTTTGTAATATAATGTTATATTACAAAATCATTGGAAAACCTCAATATTACAGTAGGCCTAACTCTTAAAATTATTTCTTATTGAATTATCTTAGGCCTATATCTATTGTACAGGTTGGTGTCTGCCTTTTTAACCACTTTTGCTGATATTTTGACATACCGTAGGCCTAACTTATTACCTATTCAAGACAGATCATCATAGGTCCATGAGATTATTTTCATACTTGTTTTCAATTATTGGAAAATATTTTGATTGTGTAATTCAATACAAAATAATACAAGTGCAGAAAGGCTCTTTGCCCATATGAGCTGTTTCCATATTTTGTTAAAATAATAGTGGTTTACAGCAACTGGATTAAGTTTTAATAATTTTATGAAGATATATGTGCATGATTTAGAAAGTCATTAATCTGCAAAATTGCAATTTATTGCAGACTTTTTAGAGATGTTACTTCGATGTATTCATTCAGCTTAGTGAAAACACAATAGGGTAGAGCCTTTGAATGTTATTAAACTACCGGTAACGAAAAGGGTTGTACATGTTTACTAGCGCTACTCAGCAACAAAAAACATTTAATTTATCTCTAAAAGAAATTTCTCAAAGTGCACCGGTAACTTACCCAGATAGTAACATATAAACAAAATGCCCAAACTCGATATTACAAAAAAGTTCAGGCCATAGCTATTTTAATGCGCTTGGATTGTGACATTTATTAATTAGGCTTTTATTTCTCTTAACCAACGGATTATCCATCTGCAGACAAGGGCGGTCCTAGACATATATTTGGGGGGGGGGGTCACCGCGGGGCCTGGGGGTCCCCCCCTGGAAAAATTTGGACATAACGTGCTAAAATTATAGGTTTTTAAGTTATTTTGAGGACCTAGTTTAATGTGTTCAAGAGTACCTATGTTTTATCTATGGTTCAAGCTTCCCAGTTTATTTTTAAAGGTATAAAATGTTAAAAAATTACATGACAATTATTGTCATGTTTTTATTATTGAGACTTGTGGTTTTAATATCAAAGGAATACCGCAACATTACAACACATTCAAGCATGTTTGATTTACGAAAACACCCTTTCAACTGGTGCCGATGTGCATGTTAAATAGAAATGGTCCAAAATCAGACCTGATTCAGGTGGATGTACCACCTGACCTGAAGAGTTGGTTCTCCAGTGTTCAAATTTTTTTCTACGCCAGTGGACCATTAAATATATGAATGATATTTAATATTGAAAGTTTTAAAATTTTCTACGGTAATCATTGAATTACATTACTGTAATAACAAATTCCTATCGCTGAACTCAGATAAATTGATATTCAACCACCTTTCAAGCTTTGACTATTGATACAACTTCTTTTCTTTATCCAATACACAATTATAGTTTTCAACCATCTAGGTTCAAACAAAACAACAAAACATTAAATGCTGAAAAGTTAAATAAGAAGAAAAATGCGGCCGATGGTCGAACGCCAGCATCGAACACTGCCGTTGCCGTATATGGCTGAAAGCTTCCGTCGTCTGCCGATCTTCCCTACTTTTCATAACATACAAAAAATAGTCAGACTCGAACGATCCCGAGGTTTGTTTGTTTGGGTTAGAGTTTGTAATTTGTCCATTCGTTCACCACAAGTGTAAAGACTACAATGAACTCAATTCGGTAGAACGATTTGCAATAAAAATTATTAAAGTTCCCCTGGTATAATAGTTTATCTATATAAAATATTTTGGGGGGTCACAACCCCCCTGACCCTAAAACAGCCCCCCCCCAGCAGGGGGGGGGGCCCTGGGACCGCCCTTGTCTGCAGAAGAAGTACATTGTGCTCTTATTGTGTCTAATAACATCCAAACTCAAAAACCTTGTCTAAAATAGTACCTATTTCTTGACAGATGTTTTGCAGTGGCCTATTACGGAACTTGGTTGGCCTTAAGTGAGATTTGTGAAAATAACACTATACTTCGACTGTAAAACAAATTTCACAAAGAGTAATTACGTACCATTTTAAAAGCAGTTACTGTCATGTCAGGAAGGTCGTGTTCCTTTTGAACTAAGATATCCTCATCCTTTCTAAGATATATGTTGATTAACAACAATGCATGTAAACGTCACTATTTACGTAACAGTTTACAGTATTTGCTTTTTGGAAATGCAGCATTGCTTTGTCATTTGCATTATTTGTTGCCAATGAAGCCGCATGACCATATGAACGAGGTCCCTCATTTCAAGAATAAAAGCCAGGTTCACTACAAGTATATTCCACTTTCCACTACACCTAACATTCATTCTGAAGATATATTATACAGTATTGAACACTTTATGTACCGTACCTAATTGATAAGGCTGAGAAAACTGACATCTGGATGTCATGGAATCAATGTTATGCTCAAATAAATAGGCCTAACTTATTAAATTGCTAAATTAAGAGGGTTATTCATTAGCATATAAGTACGGTATGACGACCGATGGGACGAAGGAAAAATAAAACTTACACAGCTTTAGGGTGGGCCTCCCTTTGAAGTAAGAACGTGCCTTCTCAACAAACAGACATTTTTCTAAAAAGAAAAACACAGATTTAATCTGTATAACACTGATGAAATTGCAGAAGTGTGTACCACAGTAGATCCACCAATACAATTATAATACTATTTAAAGATTCTACCAAAAACATTCTTTATATTATATTGTGTTATATTATATTGGTGTGTGACAGAGTATTCTTTTTATATTTGTCTATATATTTCCAAAAGAAGTCTTCAATGGTCTCTCCCGGCTTAAGAAGCTTGGCGGAGATTGAAGGTTTTCCTATGCTCTTTGGTTTAGTTGATTTGATAGTGCCCTTAAGGAAAGAGCAAACTCCTTTTGGGACTTTGGTGGCCTTAGGTTTTTTAATGTTTTGATTTTGTGTTTGTTGTGGTTGACTTTGATGTTCTGGCGCTTCTTTCCTCAACTTGCTTTTTGCTATTTGCAAGGAAACACTGAAGTAGGTTTTCTTAGTAGTTGCCAATTTGTTTTTATTATATGAAACTCGTTTGTTGTGTTAATTGGCTTGCAAGGAGTCTCCTTTTTCTCATGTATTAGGTGCTGGGAATCTTCTACTGTTATTTAACTTCTAGTTTCTTCATTTTTGAATCCGTATTATTCTGTTTTTCTTTTAGGGCCTTTAGTTCAAATAGAATTAATGTTTCTGTGTTTGATGCTTCTGGTTTTTTGTTGTCTGAAACTGTTGTTTTGTTTGTGAAGTCCTTCGCCTCTGTAGTGGTTGTCTGTGTGCTTGTCTCTCTGAATGGTTTTGTTTGTTTTTGAAGGAGAAGCAAGATGGTGGATATTATAAGCAAGTTGACTTATAAATGTGTGTGCTTTAAAATTAAATAACATTTATTAATACTCACTGTTTCAAAAATAAAAGTAGTGCTTGCTTTTCTCATAACATCAACAGACCTGGTGAGCACTAATACTAGTTTTAACTTCATGAACACTTTTGTAAACTGGAATTATTAGTTGGGCTTTTCAAACAAGAGGACTGAACTGATCATTCCTGCTCAACTTCTGCAAGTTTGTTCAATCCATGCTCGGCTAATGATAAGATAACATGACCGGATTTTCGTTTGAATTTCTTCCTTTGTAAATATAACTGTCACTTGGTTATCTTTGTTTACAAACAAGGCATAGTAACTTATCTAATAACTTATTTGTATGAAAATTCCATACATTAATTAATTTATTATTTATACTTGTAAAAACATTACTTAACTAATATAATTTATTTAGCATTTCATAGAAATTAAGATGGAAAAAAATGTTTTAAACCAAATAAGTATCCTTGTGGGGTTTGTGAGAAAAATGCTACCGTTG